TAATACCATAACATCGCACACATATCTTTTTTGATAAATTCAGTACTCAACGGTAAGAGCCACCTTATTTATATTTAGGCAGTCTCATGAAATTCACCTCATGAAAATACTGAAGAACGTCACGGTTATGTTAGCAAGGTAATGAACAGTGCTAGCTTCCTCGGCAGGCTTCACTCAGGTCGACACTGTCCTGTTTGAGAGAACGAGTGGGAGAATGGGGTGTAGAACGGGGAATGACATCAGACTCCTCAAGGTCAGTGTAACCGTTACAATAGGAGTTGCCTGCAGAGGAGGCTAAAACAGTACCAAAGTAAGACAGTACTGAAGGCTTGTAGCAATCATATGGATGATAAAATTTAGAGGATTAAATCTACATACTCAAAAAGATATTGTGCAGCACAATTCATGCCGGCTGCAATACAAGACATGACAAGGATGATTCTAGGCACACTATTTTAGAAATTCAAGTCAAAGGTTAAAACGTTCAAGCAGTACACCTCGGCTGGTAATGAACAATTGCAGCTTATGCCGGAAAATACTTCTTGGTAACTTCGTTTCAATCGTCACACTTTATAAACAGGACCCGGTTCCTCCAAAGATGGTTAAGTTTAACCCACGATTAAGCCAAGTTTTTAAGGAAGATTTTCTTGTCTAAGAACACGCAACTCGAGCTTTCACTGTTGAGTGTTAACTCTAAAGTACAGTAATGATAACACAAAATGTTACTCTTAGCAATGCATAGGAAGGTAAAATACAAAAACAGAACAAATTTTAATCCTGGATTGATGCTAATCAGCCTTCCAAGAACCGGGCCCAGTACTATAAGAAAATACTGCCCAATAGTTTTCATTCAAGGGGTCGCACGCACCCCAAGACTTGTTCTAGCGGCATAATCAAAAGGTGAAACTGTAGCTTGCATCTAATTTGGGCCGGAAGAAGGAGAAATCAAACACCCGAAAGCTCAGAAAAAATTCCGATTTCCATGTGAGAATCGAACTCACGACCCTCCGAGTTCTAGTTCGGATGCTCCGATGATACCCATTTTTCGCGCCTACCTGAGAAGATGCAGCAGCAATCCTATTTTCCATCATCTTATGCATCATTTGAAGAGTTTCCGTCACTTCCAACTCATTCTTGTCTTGTTGCTCCTTGATGCTTTGTGTGATAGAGTTCCCCATCTTTCTTTTAAAATAAAACCGCCAAGACGATAACTGGCGATGTGACTCTCAGTGCTGATAGCCCGCCGGATTGAACCGTTTTATCTCCGCGTCAGGCAGATAAACGCGTTTAAATGAGTTTTAGGGCATCCTTTTATTTCAATAACCCTTTGGAGAATTCCGAATTTGGGGACTTACTGAGTACTATTGGTTAAAACTGATCAAATGTGACGAATTTTTGGAGATAAAAAAGTGTTGCCAAGCACGCGTTTAAACGTGTCTTGTGGAACTATTTTCCCCAGTTGTTAATTTATACTATATTTAATTTGTTTTCTCCAGTTGAGTGTGTCTGCTTTTTTTGAACTTGAATTAACCAGCTCGCAACAGTGTACATGCAGCACAGTTAAACTATACTTTAAAAAAATCACAATGACGGGACATCAATTTTCCCTTTCCGCCGATACGCCGTGGCGTTGAAAATGGGTGCTCTAATTTGGATTTTATTTTAGCATTAAAAGTTAATCAACAACTCTTCTGAATCCAATTGTAGTACTTTGTCTGAAGTTACTTCAATAGACGTTCAAAGAGCAGAAATGAATTGTGTAAATCGAACTGAACTCGGCCATAGTTTTCAGTTTCGTCAGATAGTTAAAAGAACTTTCTTTTGAGTCAAGTATGTCTAATTACTCTCTAAAACAGCAGAGTTCTCAAATAATAAAACTTCGGTAATTCACTGCTAGACCGAAAAACTTCGGTTATTTTTCTAACAATAAACTTATAAAATTACCATGGAAAAACATCCCCTTTTTCGAACAAGCTAACCGTCGTAAGCTTAATTTTTTCAGTATTAGCAAATGTTTTAATGATGAAAGGGCTAACGTTTAAACGTGGTATGATGCGCTAATCATAAAAAAATCGGGAAATTTTTAAAAGTTAGCTTCGTATTTGTTTTATTCTTTGGTCAGAGCTGTCTGCCAATGTCTTGGCCACTGAATACAGAGTTAATTGGTCCTTCTCACCATGGAAGCGAAACTCCTTTTTCGAATATTCCACTGTCTGTCTTGTCTGAATACTTCAAAGGTACCTTTTTAGAAACGAAAAAGTGATCAACACGTTTCGGTCACTTAATTGTATTCGTCTTTGTCTGCTGCAGAGTCTTTGCGATGACTCTAAATGGCTGTTTTTTCAATAGACACTCGTTAACGTTGTTATACCACTTTATGGGAGTTTCTCAATTATGACTTAATTGTAGTCTTCGTTGGCTGCAGACTTTACGATGACTTTTAATGGGTGTTTATTTCAATGGAAATACGTTGTTACTTTAAGAGAGTTTGAAAGCTATGTTCGACTCGAGTAGCCCCTAATTTGGGAAGCGCCGGGTTGTGCCACAATTTGACGCCAAAATTTTAATGCATCGTGTTTGTGCGAGTTTTTCAGGGAAGACGCGAGTAAACGTGAACAAGTCTTGGCACTAATGTAAAGCCGCAATCATTGGTCTTAATTGAAATGATCAAAATGTAATTTTTAACACGTATCGTGTCTTTCCTGAAAAAACGTCTTCCATGAGAAACTAGTTAGACTATGAGTAATTTTCATTGCCTTCAGCGACAAAAAAAACACAGCAGCGCGCGTCACTCACGAGGAAGGTGACACGCGGAGGGAAGAACACCAGTCTTACTTCCTGGTGTCACGTTCTTCGCAGATGACAATTTTCCCGCGCACTCGCGTATTTAGCCCACCCTGACTCGCTTTATTATCAATGAGAATAATAAGCTCGAGGGAGTACCCATGGTCGAAGTCAAAATTCCCTCTTTTAGTATTTAGCTCAAGGAAAAATTCTTATAATCCTCCTCAGCATTATAGAACATCCTTAAAGTCAGAGTGTTCACTTATTTTGGAGATAAAAAGACCACACCTGTTATTGTTCTTAGCATTTAAAACTTTAATCAGCGCTTATTTGCAAAGCCGATTATAACTTCTGCCAGCAGTTATTCTAATCTTATAGCTTTATATGCAGAATAGGAAGACACCGACGGCCGGTAAAATATGCGTTGAGCTCGACAGATTTGTTTTTCTTAGCACCTGTATTTATAGAATAGCATTAGCTTGCATTGCACAGAAATGGCCGCGCTTTTTGCACAATTTAAGGTAAATCTGTTTATCACCAAACACCCGAGGTGCTCTTAAGAGAACTAATTCAACAGGTGTATACTCCAGTTCCAGTTGCATGGAGTTTAGAAGTGTTGGTTAGTGGCCTGGCTAAATAAAATGGTCTTATGATATCTTACCTATCCTTGGAGTAAGTGCTAAGCACACTCCCGCCCCTTTTTTAATGGTAAAAAAGGATTTTTTTCTTTGGAAAAAAAAAAAAAAGAATGAAAGCCTTATTTTGGCTTCAGTATATAGCACCATAGGAACTCAAGTCACTCAGGAAATACGCAACAACTGTAAAAATACAAAAGCCTCAAATTTGTCCTATTCGAAATTGAAAGACAACCAATGCTTCTCTCAAAACCAATTGTACCTTTTTTTGATATTCACACTAATAAGCAGGTCATTACTAGATTCGATATAATTATTTGTTGCCGTTATCTTGAAAAATGCCATCTCAGATATAAAAGGCTTGAGTCAATTTTCACCCAAAGAAGGACTAGGATATGATGAGTGGAACTTTTTTTTGCAGAAAATTACATCCTCGTTTGAATACCAAACATCGTGACTAAAAAGGCATTTATCACGAAACGTCCTCAGACAAAACGGTTAATTGATTTTTCCTTCATTTGATATTCGTACCATGGCAGCGCAAGTCCATTTTCGAGCATGCCACACTTGCTGTTGAAGGCTAAGCTAAGGCTATGTTCATTATACTGGATAGCTTTCGCCCCGGCACGAAAACCAGAGCGGATCAGGGTTCCGTTCACACATACGAACTGTGATTTCGGCGCGATTTCTCAACGGAGCGTAGAACCGTCGCGCAGATCTAAGTGGAGAGTCACATATCACATATCGAATAGGCGTTCATGCTATACCGGATAGATTTTAGTGTTAGACCGAAAAGCTAACCGGTATGGTTCGTGCATAGCCTAAGATGAATTGGGCGAATTAATTTGTTTGTAGTATCGAATAAAAAATTAACTGGAGGTTTTTTGTTGGTATGCATTTCTGGTTAATAGATATCAATGATTTCTGTGAAGTCTTAGAATAATAATGGTATAATCAGTTATGTAGTTCTCAAATTTCGATTCTGTGAACATGTGAACAAACCTTCGAAAAACTGTAGCACTGCTTTAAAATCATTTAACACAGGGCAAACTTTTGTCATTTGTTATAGCTACATTTAGTTTTGCAACGAAAAAAAAGAAAAAAGTTTATTTTAAAAAGAAAAGAAAAAAAAAAAAAAAAAGGCAGCGAGTTCTTAAGGAATGGGGATCATGATTTTCCGTCTTGAAATAGGAAGGCAGTTGTTCTAGTACTCAGTCTATTTGTTAACGACTTTCTTTCGTTCTTATTGTGTTGCCCCTGGAAAAAAATTTGCCCGTGTCCTCGTTAAGAAATGTGTGGAAAATTGGAGTTGCACTTCATTGAAAATTAACCTCTTACAGAGAATAACCGTTATTCTTTGAAAGAGGTTAATTTTCAATGAAGTGCAACTCTATTTTTCCAATGATTGTTTGACGGAAATGCCTCGGGCAAAATTCTCTTTACCAGGCAACCACCCGCATTTTACTTGGAAATAATTTCAAAAAGTCTTAAATTACCCTGCATGTCTGAGAAGGGTATTCTTTTAAGAGAACTGACTCTCAAGGGAAGAACGAGGGGCGAAAACAAGTAAGCAATTAAAAAATGGGAAATATTGCTGATACGATTAAAGCACAGCAAGAGAAAAACGAGGCTGAAACAGTCGAAAAGCTTCAAACTATCCATAATATGATGGTCGACAAGATTGCCTCCTCATCAGCGAAAATGCAGAACGACGCGATTGAAGACAAGACCCTTCCCATTGTAGCGGTCATCGATAAATCCGAAAAATACAAAGTCCACGTGCGAACCGCCCCTTCCGACGATGTCTCAGATGGCATCAACGATCTGCTGAGTGGAGATTTTCTTGGAGGGCTGAAAAGCTTGATCGGCGTGGCTCTTAACGAGTTTTTGGGCAACGCATCGGCCGGCGAAACCGAAAAGAATGACTTTCATGTCATTT